CCCTCGCTTTTTTAATCCTCTTCCTCTTCCCCAGACAGCATACCTTCTTTTCCTTTGTATTCCTTCCCTAAACCACCCCTTAGCCTTCCTTCATTTTTTTTCCACCTCAGTCAGGCCCCTTCCCTTTTCCTCTTTGCCCCCTGACCATTCCGGGATTCCGGGAACACGTTTTTCGCTTTTGAACCCGCACCCCCACTGGAACTTGTGTTTTTCGGGGGGGGGGGGGGGGGCGAAAAAACAAAATAACCACTCTGCCCCCTACAAAAAAAATGCACTTCTGTTCAGCTAGGGGGGGGTGGGAGCACCGAAGATTTCTGATTATGTCATGGGGGCATCGCACCATCATGTTTGTTTCTTATTGGGGCGTTTCTTACGTTCGTTGTGGTCGAGATTGAGCCATGTTTCTTAGCCCTTTTCTCTTATTTTTCGTAAAAACTTGAGCCTTTTTTTCATAACAGAATTTTTCTTAGCTGCGGGCGCTATCTGTAGTGACAACGAATAGCTCCCAATCTCGAGCCGCAGCCATCGCAGTAACGTCACGAAAGGGCTACCCCGTTAGACTACACTAATACGTAGTTTCTCTCGGATTTCCGTGATAGTATGCATATATTTCTCTCGCCAGAACACCAAGGAAGGGCTGCTGTCAACACACCGCTGGAAAAAAAGACGACAACAGGGGGAGACTGAAATATTTTACGGCCCAGCCTCCTACCCTGAGGATTCCCACCAGCACCAGTACTTGCAAAAAGGGTGTGTGTTAACCATCTCCATCGTCAGCTAGACCAGCGGTACTGAGCAGAGATAGGAACGGGATGAACGGTTCCAACAGCTGATGGATCCACCGGCTGACCTGGGCTGATCCACGAAAAGACGATGGCGGGATGAAAATCGGCCAACACGTCTCCTAGTCTGCGGGCTTCACCGAAGGCTCTTGAAGTACGCATGTAATATCGCCTGCGCTAATCGGCTTCCCAATGACATACAACAAAGCATTTTGCATCATAGCTTGGTGTGTTTGAACTTTTCTTCTGAAGGTTCTTGAGCCTGAACCTGGTTCATACAGTAGACACGGACCCGATCAGATGGCGACGACGAGGGTCGTAGGCCATTCCTTACGCCCCTGTTTCCTACTTTTCCTGCCCACTTCCTTTTCGTGGCTGTTGTTTTTCGTTTTCTTGAATTGCAAGTCAGTTGTTTCGATCATTGTTTGTGTAGAATTCTTATCTTTGTGAGATATCAAGGTGTTCCCTCCAGACTCAGACCCACACCCGCGCGTCTCGTGCGTGTGTGGAGATTTTCTGTAGTCAGGTCGTGTGTGCGTCTTCTTTGAGATAGCCGTGTGAGGCATGTACTCCGTGAGAGCTACCGTGTGCGCGCGTGTGTGTTAATCACGCTTCCAAGACCATCCTCGGCCGTAACATAAACGCCCAGAAGAAAAAAAATGACAACAAATTATCATCGGCCGCCCCAACTTGGTCACCCAGGTGTCTCAGTTGGTAATCTCGTAACTTTCTGTCTCTCTCTCATCACATAGAACGCAGTGGGTTCGAATCTCCCTGGAGTGAAAAACATCGTGATCTACGGAAGGGGTGGAAAACGCGTAGTCGTGAGAAAAAAGAATAGATTGAAGCCTTCTTCCCTAAAGCTGGCACAAATCAACGTGACACTTTCCTGGACAACAGGCCCCTGCGAGCGACGCACTTAGCCACTCCGGCAGAGCGCACTTTTTCAACCCGCCCATGTGTGCGGCATGGTGGGTGCTCTTGGTAAAACGAGAAACAAGCGCCACCAACAAGTCAGCCAATTTGTTTAACAGCGTGGATGAGCCCAAGACGCAGAAAACTTGACGACCAAGGAGACAGCGAACGACCTGGTTCACATCAACCGCAGACAAGCGCTGCCCCCTTGCTTACAGCAGAACGCCCCATCCATACATCTCTCTCAAAGTTGGGGTGCCGGTGCCGCGTGCCTCTCTACCACATGAAGCGTGCCAAAGAGCCGTCGTGCCAGGCAAACGGGCGTGCGAGAAAGACGTAGATCGTCACCGCGTTCACCGCTGCACACGCCACAACGCCCACCACCAATGACTTCCAGCTCCTCTCTGGAGACTCTAGGTGGGCTAGGAGCAGCGGCATGGTGAGGTACCTGTAGTTTTTAAGACACGAAAGTGGGAGAGTCGGTGGCGTCTCGGTCATTTTGGCTATGACGCTTGACGAGATAGAGGGAGGGGTGGGAGGGGGCAGCTTATGTTGTTTGCCTTGGTCATGCGACCATTGGACACGCGCGTCGCTCTCCGTCGCTGTTCCTGAGAGACACCGAAAGAATAAAACGGGGGCAGTTTGCGTTTCTACCATGTTCCACAACAGCGAAGACAACAACAACATCAACATCCCACCTTGGCTCCAGCAGGGGGGACGGCACCAGAACGACGGCCGCCGCCCCCACGTACGTCAGAACCCACAGCGGCGGCTTCCTGCGGAGGAGGCGTGACGTCACCAGCCAGCCGCAGAACACGTACGCCGGGGCGAGCGCGACGCGAACGTAGACGCGGCTCAGCAATCGCTGCCAGACGTAGAAGGGGTAGTGCCGGTTGTCGGAGAGCAAGAAAGGGTGCGCCAGGCTGTACCTGCCCCACGTCAGGACGAACGCGCAAATTGTTTTATTGTAGTGGGGATCGGGGGAGGCGCTGCACGGCTTACGTTCAACGCCTTGAGCCGTTACAACTTGATGGAGATCGGGTAGGTAGAACAAAGTCGGCTTTTTCGTCGATGAAGCACTCTTCAAACACCGAGGGTGATGGTCAAAGGGGAGAAAGCCACAGCGAGTGTAAGTACACGTTGGGCGAGGGTGACAGCAATCGGGGAAACGTGCGCATGAAACGCTGCCGCTTCCAAAGCGTTCTCGGCAATCGGGAGCGATCGCCCGCCCGTTTCTGCTGTACCTTGCGTCTTCTACTGCACCGTGACCCAGCCTACTAATAAGAGCCTCTGCAAAACCAAGCACAGCACAACTCCGCCACAAACACAAAACACTCGCACCTCCACAGCACCGCCGCCACGCCAGCCACAACCGTCGCAACGCGCCCCCGCCCTCCCCCGGCCCACCGCGCGAAGCCCCTCCGCGCATCCCGCCCCAACAACGCCTCCCGCCCCCCCACAACCCCCCACAGCGACGCGCCCGTGGCGGCCAAGTACGCCAGCTGCGCGAGGTGAGGCGGACCCCCCGGGGAGTGGTTCTCCTTGTCCCCGATCACAACGGCGCCTCCGTTGAAACCCCACACGAACACGGCGAACAGGGCCACAGGGATGGCGAGCGGCGCTCGGGCGCGCAGTAGCGTCCCCCCCCTAGAGGCATCCGTCAAGGCCGCCCTCGCGAGTCCTAGCAGCAGGCGCGGGGTCGGCGGGAGGGATGGGTGGGCGCCGCCGTTTCTCGGCTGCGCGGAATCGATGTCGTTGTTGCTGCCGCCGGTGGTTTGTTCTCCGTCGGTACCTAAACCTCCTCCTCCTCCTCCTCCTCCTCTGCTTAGGCCCACCTCCGCGTCCTGCTGCGACCCGGATCCGACCCGCTTTTGATCGGTGTTTCTTCTTCTCCTTCTCGTCGTTGTCGTCGATTGCTGCAGCGGGGAAGGCGATGAGCGCTCGCCGCTTCTCCTCGTGGTGGCCGCTCCCCCTTCGTCGAGACCACCGACGGCCTCGGCAGCAGCACCATCGCCGGCACAAGGAGGCGCTAGAGGATGCTCCCAAGACCCCGCCGACTTCAGCCGGCTACCGGTACCTGCTGCGTCTCGAGCTCGACGGGAGGAGGGCTCGACAGCAAGGGCACCAGCGGGGGCGCGCGCCGAGACGTCGCCGCCGGGGCTAACGCGAACAGCAGCAACAACCGACGGGGTGAAGTCGTCCAAGAGGCAAGCGGCCAGCGTGAAGGCCACCCACACGGCGTTGGTCTGCCGGAACAGCACGGACACGCCGCCCGCCTGCCGAGTTGCGGTTCACACCGCGGAGAGAACCACCCCACCAGCAGTTAGTTGGGCGGTAGACAGAATCGACGGAAAGTGGTACGGTAAACTAATGCGTGTTGGCAGCGAGTGTGTGCGGCGGGTGGGACAACCAAGAACGGAGTACGGGCGCGGGGGCATTGACGACGGTTTTCGCTGGCATCTCCGAACAGGTCTGTGCTGCGTGTGGGCGGTGTGTGTCCTTAAGAGCCGGGGACAGAACGGCGGCAAGCGGAAACACGTCTGCTATTAAAATATGGCACGCCGGTCAGCTCTACCCATAAACCGGTTTATCAGGCGGCGTAGATCTCGCTCAGATCTCCGTAGAATTAGTTTAGGGTGTAGACATGAAAACAATAAAAGGCACGAAAATCAGGAGGATCCGGTGTGGACTTCTCTCGGAAGTAGGTTGCGTCAAGTCCCGAAGGATAAATCAATCAACCAACCCGCAATCACGCTGTGTATGTCAGCCGTCAGTCCCCCCTCCCCCTCACCAGCGCGCTTGCAAGTCTCCTGCCCCACCCCCCTCCCCTCGGGGGCCCCGTGGCCAAGAGGTAGCAGAGAAGAACGAAGAACGTGGCCCCGGTGTCCGTGTAGAGCAGGAAGGAGAAGAAGAAGGAGACGGGGTAGAGCCACAACAGCAAGGCGTGGGCGAGCGCCTTGCCGGGAGCCTGTGCCCGATCAGGAAAACGGACCGTTCCGTCGTTCAGCTACGTATTCATGCTGAGGGCTGGAGAAAGGAAAGGCAGCGTGTATCAATACATCGCTGGTTGTCGCACTTATGAATCGCTGACACGGAGTTACCACTTTCACTCACAAACAGAGCAACACTCTTAGGCAAAACATTCGAAGCACCGGGGGACGGGAGAATGGAGGCTTGGAGCTGTGAAAAAAGCGGGTTGTGCTCATGAAGCACTCTGCTGGTTCGGTCACCGTTCCTCTTAAAACCATCTGTGGCGAATATCAGCAGCGGCGGCGGCGGCGGTGGCGGCCGCAGTTGTAAGGCGAGGGGGGCGGGAGCCATGACTCGCGCGATCTAAGCACAAATAACGCGTACAACACGGTAGACCTTCTCACCATGCGTCTCACAAAGAGCGATCTCATCACCGCCAAAGCTCCCAGGGATAGCCCCCAGTTCGCCTGCCGCAGCACTGCCGCGACGCATTGCTCCTGGCTGATGAAGAGCCCTGCTACACGGCTACTAGCAGTTGCCGTGCCTTGGAGCAGGAGCAACGCTTCTCTAAGGGCCGTTAAGAGCCCCGCGTACGCCACCGCAAACGCGTACAAACCTGGCGGTGTGGTGATCTTGGGATCCCACGTCCCTGCAGTGTCGTGGAGCATGCAAATGGTTTGTTTTCGCAGCGAGTACAAGAAGGTCGAGGGGTGTCACGCTGCGCGCGCCCGGACGGTTTGTGTACGTTAGAGTGCGTGCGTCCTTACTCGATTCCCCAAATGAGCAAGATGAGCAAGCGCTTCTGTACGAAAAGTGGATGTTGATGCCACAATGAGCACATCAACACAAACAACAACAACAACAACATCAACAACAACAACAACAAAACGGAGACGCACCGCAAGTGCTCACCGTAATCTCCCTGGCAATAGGCTTGAGCCTGGGGCACGTGAAATATTTCGTCCTGTCGAGATAAGAAGAGACGTCGGCGCAAAGCACAGCGGGGGCCGGGGCCGGGGGCAGAGGATTCATTTCAACGTACCACACAGGTACAGAAATTCCATTCACCGTGTTGGATCGTTGAGCAGTCGAGCGCTGCATCATACGCAGATTCCTTGGATCAGTCAAAGCTGGCAAGATAAAGGGTGTGGTATCTAGTAGAGAGCACGCGTCAGCTTTCGGTACGATACGAGCCCCCTTTTCTCGTTCAAACGGAGACTCTCACCGCGATACTGTACGAGCTAGGGTGGTGTTATCTTGCATCATACGCACTTGCCCTCTGCCCCGCTGTCGCTTTGCCTGTGAGATTGCACTATCTCAAAACGATGTTTAACGCTGAAACGGCCAGCCGCAAATGCTACCCTTGCAAAAACACCCCCCTCTTTGACCCGTTTTACCCTAGCTCTCCAGACTCCAGACACTGAGACATTCAAGTCGCTTTGCGCGGCAGTGCTGTCACTACACGACCGTCAAAGGGCCCTAGCAGGATCCGTTCACTGACAACCTCTGGTTTGTAGTTATACGTTTTTCGTCGACAAGCACCTTTCAGTGCATCCTTGGATTGCATAGTCTGCGATGTACATGGACGGGCGATAGAGACCACACAGGGAGGGTTGCCGCTGCCGCCAACGGACAAGGCACGCAACATTGACAGTAAGTTGCCGACATACATGTATCGACACAGTATTCTAATTCTGATAGGAGAGCCACGGCTTTCTCCGGACCATAGCAGGACCACTCGCGAATTGCCAACGTAGTAGTACATTGTCGTCGTAGCTGAACTGACTGACCATGTAGGGTTCGGGCGCCACAGAGCTGAAAGCCCAAGCTGTTCCGGCAAAACATGCCGCTCCCAGAGTTGCGACAACGAGAGTTACCGCCGTATTGGTGCTTCTTCTGCTGTCATTCCCACTCAGCGGGCGAAGGTCACTCTCCTGGCTCTCAGGCAAGCTGGAAGCCTTGCCTGCATGATGTGGCATATTGTGCGCAGACCCGCGTACCACAGAGCCAGCAAGAGCAGTAGGATATCGACACAGGACAAGACACAGACACCAGGCGGCGTTAGTCGTGGTCTCGTGGTCCCATTGGCCCAATGACCCACGGGAGAACTCTTCATTAATTTGGTTCCCGAGGCGTTATTTTGGATCATGGGGAGGGCGATATTGTTCCGTCGGTGGTTGTTTGTTGCGGGTTGCGAGCTTGGAGAAGCAGAAATTAGCCTTGGCGCGAGTCCCGAAGGATCTGTGATATGCCCTGCGGTGCATGTGTTCACAGTAGATGCCGCAAGGCTTCCACCGCCTCGAACGAGATCGACTTTCTGCCTCAAAATAAGGGAGGACAAATTCAACACATGCATTCATTCAGAGAATCATCCCAGCTCACAGATCACTACGGGGTCCTCGCAGCGTCAACATTTCAGAGGAAGCCCAGAGCGCAAAGAAAGCATCGATCAATCTTGTTTGGTGGGACATTTCGGTGCGAAGTTCCAGACTGTTTTGGGTTGTCTCGTCACACAGCTAAGTTTTAGTTTTTTTCGACTCAACCCACGTGCCCATATGCCTACAATACGCCGCTGGCACGCGCCGGAGGTAGTTGCGTGGTCATGTTAATCAACGCGTATTCTTGTGTTGTGTTAGGGAGGTGAAGGCACTTAGAGAGGTTGTAAACGGCTGTTTCCGTGTGTCTCCGAACGCTTTCTTCTATCGAATAGCCCCAAAACGACTGCAAGCCTCCTCATCCATTGAATACCACAAGACAAGGTTGATCAGTTTTTTGGACAACGATTTTCGAGTATTGACAAATTGTACACGCGGCAGGATACCGCTTGTGCCTCCCCTTGTCCGCCCCCACCCACGTGTCTCCCGATCCCGAGACCTTTCCAAAAGGTGGGGATCGAGCGGGAGAAGCAGTGTGTCAAAACACGACTCCATCAACACCTACTACCAAATATCGGCAAGTAATGCGTGGAATAAGAGCACCGCGAAAATGCTACAGTAGTACAGGTGCGCCGAAAGTCAGTACGACTTGTCGGGACGAAAAAAAAGACGCCGCTCTTTTGTCCAACGAAACCGAAGCACAAAGATACACAGCAAGTCACGTATCAAGGCAACGAAGCCATGGCACAGAACCGCACACACTAAACCAACAAACCAAACACAAGCCTCCAAACCCACTTGTCAGCCTTTGTCCTCGCTTGTTGGCATGCAACGTATCTTCGGGGTCGTCTACTGTACTAGAACCAAACGCCATTTCATCCCCGAAATCTCGGACATGGGAAAAAGTGCGGTGACGATCTCCGACGAAACTCCTCAAATTTAGTACTCCTCGCCGAAGTCCTCCTCCTCGCCCTCGCCCTCGGCGGTCTCGGCGCCGACCTCTTCGTAGTCCTTCTCGAGGGCAGCCAGGTCCTCACGAGCCTCGGAGAACTCTCCCTCCTCCATGCCCTCACCCACGTACCAGTGCACGAAGGCACGCTTGGCGTACATGAGGTCGAACTTGTGGTCGATGCGCGACAGAGCCTGCGGTTCCGTTGCATGGTATGGTGGTCGTGTACACATTGTGGAGTAGTAGCACAGCGGTCAAAGGGGAAAAGTCGTCAGACAAAGGTGGGTGAGAACCACGTCTCTAATCCTGGTAGAAGCAGGAAAAAGTCGAGCGCAATCGCTCGGGGAACGAACGTATTGTACGTACCCTCAGAAACATGACCACGCACAAAAGAGAAAAAAGAACGCACACACGAGAAAGACAAAAGAGACGCACCTCGGCGATGGCGGTGGTGTTGGCCACCATGCACACGGCGCGCTGCACGCGGGCGAGGTCGCCGCCGGGCACGACGGTCGGGGGCTGGTAGTTGATGCCGCACTTGAAGCCGGTGGGGCACCAGTCCACGAACTGGATGGTGCGCTTGGTCTTGATGGTGGCCACCGCGGCGTTCACGTCCTTAGGCACCACGTCTCCGCGGTACATGAGGCAGCACGCCATGTACTTGCCGTGGCGGGGGTCGCACTTGGTCATCATGCCGGCCGGCTCGAACACCGAGTTGGTGATCTCCGCCACCGACAGCTGCTCGTGGTAGGCCTTCTCCGCCGAGATGATGGGCGCGTACGACGTGAGCATGAAGTGGATGCGGGGGTAGGGCACCAGGTTGGTCTGGAACTCGGTCACGTCCACGTTAAGGGCGCCGTCGAACCGGAGCGAGGCCGTCAGGGACGAGATAACCTGGGCCACGAGACGGTTCAGGTTCGTGTACGTCGGCCGCTCGATGTCGAGGTTGCGGCGGCACACGTCGTACAGTGCCTCGTTGTCGAGGCAGAAGGTGCAGTCCGTGTGCTCCAGGAGGGCGTGCGTGGACAGCACCGAGTTGTACGGCTCCACCACCGCCGTCGCCACCTGCGGCGCCGGGGTGATGGCGAAGGAAAGCTTCGACTTGCGGCCGTAGTCCACCGACAGACGCTCCAGCAGGAGCGAGCCGAGCCCGGACCCGGTCCCGCCGCCGGTGGCGTGGAATACCAAGAAGCCCTGGAGGCCGGTGCAGTTGTCCGCCAGCTTGCGGATGCGGTCGAGCACCAGGTCCACGATCTCCTTGCCGATCGTGTAGTGGCCGCGGGCGTAGTTGTTGGCCGCGTCCTCCTTGCCCGAGATGATCTGCTCCGGGTGGTACAGCTGGCGGTAGGTTCCGGTGCGGACTTCGTCGCACACGGTGGGCTCCAGGTCCACGTACACCGCGCGGGGCACGTGCTTGCCCGCACCTGTTCGTTTGGACGTCGCATTCGTTCAAGGATTGGGAGGATTCAAGGTGGCGGGTAAGATAGATGATGGTGAGGCGGGTACACTTAACATTAATATTTTCAGCAGTGCATTGCTTTCATTTTCAGGTTGTCGAAACTTGTCATTCCAGGTACAATTGTAGAACCTATTCTTTGGGGGGCAATTGCTCGCGAACGTGAAGGTCAAGAGGTGCGTGCGTGCGCATGGCAGAGGCATGTGGTTGGCGGTCGACTGTAATACACCGTTTGTGTTTCATCGGGGCTTTCGCTCAGCAGGAAGGCAGCATGATACGTATCGTCATTGCTTTTTCAACTCCGACAGACACAAGATACATGACTCGTCATCGCGAATAGCACTCTGATAAAAACCTACGCATGAAAAAAAACATCTGCATGCTGTCTGTGCTTGACTCACACAGCAGAATCATCCATTTAGTCAACTATTGTAGCGTACTGGCTGTGGATTAGCATTGCTCTTCCTTGATTTCGTCGGCATTTCCGAGGTGAGCAGGAACACTGGCTTGCCTCCACATCCCTACTGCTGTGCAAATAATCAAGGAAAAATAAATACACACAAAAAATGATGCACGATCGAAGCCTAGCAAGAGGAAAATGCGAACAAAAGATTTGTCTCTCCCAACTTGACTTTACCGCCATACATGCATATGCTCAGCTGTTCGATTAAAAAAAGTAAAATGTCGTTTCAGATCCATGGCGCGGATGCTCGCGGCAATTTCCGATTACTGCACATCAAATAAACGAGTCGAAATTGGTGTCCACTCGGGAGTCGGGTGACATGGTTGTGGTTTCTCATGCCCGCGCTAACTGCTGGATACACCCGCATTGACACCAAACATCTCTGCTCTCCTAGGCATATAAGCGAATCACCTTGGTTGGCATGGACAACCTTACTTGCCAAGACCATCGATTTTCGCTACTTATTTTATAGTGGCATTACGGTTGCCGGGCTTGCTGGGCAAATCCACTGCGCAAGCATCTACCTTTGGGCAGTTGATTGGCACGAACGAAACACACAACACACGTCTACAGAACCGCTGTGGTTTGGATAGCGGCAATGGAACAGAGCTGCTTCACAATACACGAAGCAGCCCGGGATCAGAGGGGGAGGCAAGACTGCATCAATATTCGTAGGCCTGATCATGCATCACACATCTTTTTCGGCCTTCAGCAGAACAGCATCAGGACGACCGAGATGGTCGAAATACAAAAAACCGTTGCACTTTGGCGGTGCTTCTTGGTGGTTGGTGCTCACACTCGAAGGAGTCACGACATCTGTTGTATCCTGCTGCCTGCTGCACTCACCAGTCTCCGAGAAGAAGGTGTTGAAGGCGTCATCACCGCCGCCGATGGTCTTGTCCGAGGGCATCTGCCCATCGGGCTGGATGCCGTGCTCCAGGCAGTAGAGCTCCCAGCAAGCGTTACCTGCGCGCGGCGGGAAAAGGACCAAGTTTGAAATGACGATATTTTAGACAAGAGCGTGCACACGAGAGAACCAGAGAGGGACACTGCGGGCGGGCACCAGAGACAAACAATCCTCAGGGATCGATCCTTCAGGATCATTGGTAGACGCACGCACACTGGATCGTCTCGGCGTTGGTCGAACCACAACACGCCTTATCCCAAATCAAGTCAAATTGCACGGTGGAATTGTAATCAAACTCGTCTCCGCGTTTGCTCACCGGTCTGGATGCCGGCCTGGCCGATGTGGATGGAGATGCACTCACGCATGGTTACAGGTGGATTGGGGTGTTAAAGCGAAGGGGAATGGTGAGGGAGGCTTACGCTTTTGGGTTATCGGGCGAGTCGTCACGCGATGCAACGGCAGGTCCGAGAAGTGATCACATCAAGCGCACACATTCACATCCACGAAACGCCGATCAAAAACGAGGCATCAGCAGCAAAATGGAAGAGGCGTTTCTCACCGGCTAGTTTTTCTCGTGTTTTACCGGCAAGAAAACTGAAACGGCTCGATCTTATTTGGGCAGCCAATTTGTCGGGAGACGACGACGACGACGATGACGACGAAAAAGGGTTAGGGAACAGAGAAAGAGCAGACTTTTCGCATAGGTCTTCCTCAACCCCCATGTGTGATGGTAGGCGATAGGTGTAGGGACAAACAAATGCGTTCATGGCCTTTCCTCGGAGTTCGAGACCAGTGGGATGCTGCTGTGCATGTCATGAGTCAACTCGTATAATAGTGTAGATGAAAACATGCCGCTGCATGTGCAAGAATGTTCAGAAAGTTTTGGGAGCAAGAAAAAAAAACACAGGAAAATGTTCACAGGGCAAGTCCATTGCCCGCGTCCCAACTGATATAGTCTTAGTCTTGTTAGACGAACCAAGCTGCCTCCCCTCGCGTCGCACCCACAAGCATTGACCGTAGAATGCGACAACAGACAAGGACTCCATTCCCGCGGATCCGTAATCGCGCGATCTTGGGCAGAGTCAGGTCTGACGTTTTGTAGCTCGATCCCATTTTCAGCTCTCGTCCCGCGATCGCACGACAACCAACCGATCCCGTAAGGGCGAGAAGCAACATATTTCGAGGTTTGTCGGATATGTTCTCAAATTCATTGTAATGTAGGTCGATCGATGATTCAAACGGCCGATGAGGCGTTAATGACAGCTGTGGGTGTGGGCTAGTCTTAGGCGCTTATCCCCCCTTCCATAACACACATAACGCAGATTTAAATGTATTCCCGAAACACGTGAACCCAAAAACAAGTGTGGAAATATCATTACCCGGACAACATTGGAACTGCCCATCCCACAGTTCCCCCTCCCCGCCGAAAAAAAGACGAAATAACCAAGACACCAAACCAGTACCAAATTCAAAATTCTTTCTCGTTGAAGCGTTGCCAGCTTTCGGAGAACAAGACGAACGTAAAGCAACCATCAAAACGTGCCGATATTGCTGTAGAATTTATATGTGTCGGCACACGTATACGCTCCTCTCGGCAGGCACGCCGTACCTAGGCGGGCGATGACACCGAAATCCAACACACAACGCGGGACACAAGACACCAAACCAAAAGAAACCGTTTGAACCAACAAAATCGTGACCACGACGCCCCCGGCGATTGATGGTAATGGCGCTGCCTGTAGGGTTGCTACACGTCCAACTCCCTAGAACGATGACGCAGAACTGAGGCCAAACATGAGTCGTTTCTCTCAGATTCGGCAACGCGGATCCGCGACGTTCCCTTCTCTCCCGCGCAACCCCCCCCCTCCGTCCTGCTGTTGATGCTCTTGTCTGCCGACGGACGCGAGGCTGCCCATCGGATCCCACGCGGGCAGCATGGTGGGCTCGTCTGTCAGCAGCGGCAGCAGGTCTTTATCCAATAGACTCTTGTTCACCACCACCTGCCACCACCACCACCGTTCGAGTTACGAGTCAGTGTCCGACAACGCACCATGCAGCGTACGGGCGTAATCCGACAGCAGCATTGGCTCAGCATAGTTGAAGCGAATCAACAAATGACGGAGCAACGGTGCAGTTCGTTCAGCGCTTGATTTTGGCACGCCACTACCTTTTGGTAAAAACTGATGGGGGGTATTTTCAGAACAAAATGTGTACATGCAACTGCTGCGATCCAGACTTTTTAAGAACTATTTCTCGACGAAGAAAGCATCATGTGTTTGTGTGATTGGGTGAGAAGTAAGCGGGAGGCGGTAGCGTGGTCACTGCAAGTGCCAAGTGCATGCCACTCTCTTCTCGTGCACGTCGAACACGTCGTACATACCCTTCTCTTCTCCTGCAGTCTAACACGTAGTAGTACAATGCCGTCCGTGCGGATAGTAAAGCGTAAAAAGGGTTTCGTTGCGGAAAATGCATTCCGTTCGTTCGTTCACCTGGAAAAGATACTCGTCGAACCACGCGTTCGTCATGAGGAAGTAGCCCTTGTTGCCCCTCGTGTCACCCCAGCTGAAAACGAACGCACGTCGGTCAACCGGGCAGAAGAGGAAAGGAGACGGGGAGGGAGGAGCACATGTGTGAGCACGGGCGAAACACTTCGGGTAACGATAGACTGCCACTAACAACACATTACACAGAAACAAGATGGACTACAAACTCTGCTGGTGACACCCACGATAATACCTCCGCTCCCCCTAAAACAGTGCACGAACAATGTCCTGCACTAAGTGAAGCCCTCCGTGTCATCTCACGACAACCCAGCCCTCGCAAGCATCGCAGTCCAGCACAGACCTCCCAACACGGTGTTCAAAGGAGGTGCAACATGTATACCTCGTGTGTTTGCGGGACATATTCATCGGGCGGTGAGAAAGAGAAAGGGCAGGGTGTGGAACCGTATTGTAACGCCGACCCTGATGTGTCAATAAAACATCTATGCTACATAAAAACGTTCGGGGCGTAAGTGCTTCCTATCTCCCACGCCAATCCAAAATAGGGCGATCGGCTTCCTGCAATGAGTCAGTCCGCCGTTCATGCATTGGTCTTGCACATCCCCGCCCTATCGGTGCATAGCCCCATGTCACTGGGGTGTACTGTAGCTGTATTTTACCTGTTCTCGACCCTCCATTTGTTGGGGATTTTTTCTCCATCCCTCTTGTCGTAGCCGGTGAAGACCATCGCGTGGCTCATGAGGCTCTCCCCACTCCTGAGACGCTCCTCTTTGGTCATTCCTATCGGCAAAAAAAAATAACGTGAAGACATACCCGCAAGACAGCAGAGCACGGAGAGGGGGCAGACAGAACCGGGGTGGGGGGAATCGAAAGGTATTGTTATTGTTTCGAAAAAAACAATTCGAAAAACACAATATATTGTTTCGAAAATACAAGGGAAGTATATGTTCTGTAGGGTCTGTAACTTTCAGTAGGGCATTGGAAGTTGTCACAGAACTCCACAGAAAATATCGGGTTTGTGAGAAGGTCTTAAAGAACCCACAGAACGTTTCGGTTAGGTTCACAAATCTGTACAGACGTTTTCTGTACTGTACTGTCGTGTCATAGATGTCACAGAAATATCCGGTATTGTATCGCAAGTGCCACAGAACTCAACAGAAA